GAGGAAGTTAATGTGCCAGTGAACAATTTGTACGTTCAAAAATATATATAAAACACATTCTATATCCTGTGATTGCAATGAAACAGGAGAGAAGTTGTGAGGCAGTGGGAAGAGATTCATAAAGAAAAAAAAAAAACCACAATCAGCTACAGAAAGTAGTCTACCAGGGCCGTGACAAGCATCCAGTATATGATGAATGTGGTGTGTGTGTGTGTGTGTGTGTTTGTGTGTGTGTGTGTGTGNGTGTGTGTGTGTGTGTGAGAGAAACAGAAGTTTGGCGACCTTCAACAGTCAATACCTCGAAAAATCCTCGGCCACTATTGGTGAGATCTAACAGTAAACACTGTGGTTACCTCCATGACCAACTCTATTTGCATGGAAGCAGCAGTGGCTAAAAAAAAAAAAAACATTCCCTGGATAGGGCACACCCGCATGCTGCCCGACCACCAACTACTATGGGAAACTGATAGCAAAGATAGATCGGTTATGCAGGTCCCCTGTGCCAGGGCTTTCGAACATATACATCGCACTGCTCAACAGAGGGGGACCGAAAGGCTGGTCTACGATATCAGCAGGCAGCCGGCACTACCCCAAAGTCTAGGCTCATCTGCCACCCTTGAATGTAGCTCATGCATCAGCCTCCAAATGATCATGACTGGACATGATGGACAACCAAGAGCAAGTGTGTGCGTGTGCATAAGGGCAGGTCAGCTCTACAGCCAAATTAAACAATGCTACAAAACAACACTAAGTTGTATGTCAACGAGATTGCATGATCCAAAACTTGTGGTTTTCAGCAAGTTGCATGTTCATTGATTTTCTGCAGCAAGAGGGATTTTGAAAAGCAGACTAATGAAGTGCTATCAGGACAGTGGACACAGAGCCAGAGACACAACAGTAAAACTCTATGCTAAGTGACTATGAACTTAGCTGAGAGGCACTAACTGTACAACATCCCTGGCTCAATAGTTCAGCCACAGAGAGGACATTTTCTATTTTGACTTCACAAAGAAGCAGATACCAGATTTAACTGTGTGTTGCCATGAGCTACTCTGAAGATATTGAGTGCTGTATGTGACAGAATTCTGCAACCAAACCAAAAATAGTCCATTTTTAAACCTCGGGTGATCCCATTTAATTGATCCACTGTGAATAAGGGATTCAAACAGCCAGCGCAAGCTACAGCAAACCACTAGAAACTTTTCAGTTAAGATTTGATGAGCAGGATACAAAGGTTGTGATGTCTCTTTTTTGTTAACTAAGGAATGTCTCTAAAAACTGAGCAGTTTCTGTCCCAAAGCAATGTGAACAGAGGTTTCTGCATTCCCTCTAAGTCCTCTCTCTGTAACTCTCTGCTTCAGACATACACTCTGCTCCAACTTCTGATGCAACTTGCACCATGACAGCAGCTGGAATTGTAAAAGAAATGACTGCATTGGTTTGAATTATTTTATTTGCTTTAGGACAAATTAATTAATTAATTAATTAATTTTGGATTTGTACTAATCATTCTACGATGCTGACCAGGAATGAAGCACTATGATCTATGATGAGTCCGTCACAACAATATTCCTACTGAGTTCTTTCACATTGAACCTGTTTATGTTAGTTAATACAAACACTGGTTTGAAAGCTGTCAATCATGCTCTGATGCAGACTAAATAACTGGACCAGATTTGTGATGGTCCACTGGCTGACTGATGCAGTTAGATTTCTAACAGTGCTCCGGAGGGTCAGTCCAACTATGACAAATGAGTCCATGTCAATGTCTTTGACTGAGAGTGACAGCAGGAAAAGAGAGGCTGAGCTGTGTACTCTAACAACAAGTGTAAACATATTTTCTTCATTATGAAACTATAGTAGGAAAAATTAGACTGCAGGAAACACTGGGGTAATCATTCTCTTTTTGGTTTGCCTAGTGTGGCTAATGTTAGCTGGGCTAGCACTTTTTTTACAGTTTAAATCCACATAAGTGTCCTTCCAACATTATTTTTACTCAACAACTCAACTCAAACAAATAAGTAATCTAGTTTGAATTAGTGATTTTATGCTTTACATTAGATGTCATGAGTGTTGAGTGGGACCTACTCATGATTGGTTGGGTGAGTGTACTGGTTGGACCTTGATGCTCCTTGATGCTTCAAAACCACTACCGGGGAGACTCTGGATCTAAGTGACGCAACTAGTATAAGATGTCAGCACCGGTATCCAGGATGTTTTGGCTTAATTTTTGGACAGTGGGAGGAAGTGGAGCCGCATTCATCTTCATACAATCGATGGAGCCCATAAACTATTGAACCATACAAACACTATGTAAACACAACTCAAAGGATTTTGTCTGGGCCCTGAGAAAAAAACAATCTTCTGACAAGTTGTTTTCCAATATTATAGGAAACAGTGATTTTGTGTCAGACTAGCTTGAAGATTTAGGATCTGTGGCTCCATGACCGATTCAAATTTTCCAGAGATAGATTTCAACTAAGTTTTCTGCAGTTGCCCTGAATGCATAAGTCCCTATAGTCAAAAAAAGCTTTTTTTGGACAAAACGAAGGCTGCCCTGCTGTGTCCCGTCATTTTAAAGGATCAAACAATCAGTCCCCTGCCTTCATGCACACACACACACATACGTTATGAAAAGAGATGTAAAGAACAGCAACAAACAGGTTTTGATCCACTTTGTAAAATTATGGTATCAAAGAACAGTGCCTGCATGTGTGTATATTTGCGTGTTATTCTGCTACAGCAACTCCAAAGGGTGTTGCTGTTCAATAAGATAATATTCTCCATCACTTTTTTTTTTCAATAAAGGCTAAAAACCACATCAAGCCTGTCATCAATCATGGCATTACATGTGACACTCAGTGCATGAGATTAAATAAAAAGGTTTGTGAGTTTGTGCACCAAAGCTTTGACTGTGTTAATGCTTAAAAACGAGACTGCATACAACTGCTGAGTTAAACTTCTGCAACAAATTTTTAATTTCCATGGTTCCCACACAAGAAATGCTATAGCCTGATAGCTCTATGAAATTGAAAATAAGTAACGATTTATATAATTTGAGAAATGCAGCTGTAACACTGGAAAATCACTGTTTTCTGTATTTTCTCAACGCATATTTTCTAGTCAAAACTAAAACAAATTAAATCAGCATTAAATCAGTATTAATACATTTGGGTTGCTGCAGTTCACATCGATCTACTTGTCTCTCTACATGATATAATTAGTGTGAAGCGATAATGAAAATAAACAACAAATGTCAAAGAATACAGCAAAACATTTATGTAACCAAAACTCATCTGTGGGAAGATGTTTTTTTTCTCTTCTGCTCTGTTGCACCCAAGTGTGTGTGTGTGTCTGTCTGTGTAAATGGTTCACTGACATTTGAGATGAGAAGATAAAGAAGCTTAGTTGGATGGTAGAGGGAAATATGAAGGTAGAGCAGGGAGTCATAAGAAGGAAGCAAAGGCGAGGGAGAAGCAGTGACGGAGGTGAGGAGTGGAGTGCAGTGATGGAGGGATGAAGGAAGGTGGGTGGGAGTGAGAGTGGAGGGCGGGTGGGATGCAGGGAAGATGGAGGGAGAGATGGAGTAATGATAGAAGGATGGTGGGAGTATAGAGAGAAGGAACAGGGAGGGAGGGGGGAACAACAGTGGGAAGGATGGAGGAGGAACAGTATGTCATACATTGTTTTATTCTCATCCAGAGGCCAGTGAGAGGAGGCAGATACCTGCTGATTATTCTGTTGTATTATCTAACTCTAAAGACAACAAGATGTGTGTTGTGTTTGTGTGTTCACAGGGTTAGATAAGAGCTGCTGTTGCAATAAAACAAACATTTACACTCTTGTTACTCCCTTTATACCCCTTCTCTTCACCTCTCAATTAGACCTCCTGATTTCTCTCCTCATTCCCTCCTGTCTTCCTCCTTTACTTGTCCACTCCTCACCCACCCTACTTTCTTCTCTTTGACTTTTTCTTTCTTTCTCATCCCTTTCTCTCTCCTATTTTCTTTCTTTTTATATTTCATTTCATCCCCCTTCTCAGCAATATTTCTCAAAGGATATATTGATGGCTGTTCCATCCTGCAGTTGTATGCATTGAAATGTTCTGCATCGTTTTTACCAAATTTGCAGAAATTCCATCACAGCATTCCTGAGATGATGTGTTCGCAAGACCAAAAACGTCTATTGTAAGGTCAAAGTGGCTTTGACCTTTGACTGACAAATTCTAATCAGCTCATCCTTGAATCCAAATTTATATTTGTACCAAAGTTGAAAAGATTTTCGGGAGGTGTTCCTGAGATTCTGCATTTACAAGAGCAAAATTATTTTCTCAGTGGCTACAGTGACCTGTAGAAACAAAAATCGAATCAGTTCATCCTTGAGTCTGATTGAATATTGTCCCCACATTTAAAGACATTCCTGAAAGGTGTTCTTTAGACATTGTGTTTACAAGAACGGGACGGACATCCCAGCATAATGCTTCCGGGAAACACTAGCTTTGCCTGGTGCGTATCAAAAAAAATAATTCTCAAAAGACGTCTGAACTCTGGCCGCTATGCATTACACCCAACAAAACCAAGCTCTAACAATGCACAGAACTGCACACAAACATACACACACAAACACATAGTTGAGAGAGGATGAAGAGGTAAATAAAACTCTCCCTTCTACCGCATGTACATTTCTTTCTGTGCATGTAGATGATCCCTTGAGGCGAACGGCCACAACATTTACATTTACTGAGTGTGTGGAATTCATGTGTGTCAAGGAAAAGGGGGGTTGTAGATTTCCCTGTATACTGTCATTTAAATATTTATCTCATCTTGCACTGTCACACTGTCCATGTTTCCAACATCCCACACATGAAGAAATGAGAGAATCATTGGAGTGCTGCTTCCTCTCCCCTTCACATGGAGGCAGAGGTAATGCTTTACATCATGAATATAAGGAAACGGGTGGTGGTGGTGTTTGCCTGGGTGGAGGCTGGAACAGTGGCTTACCTGCCATGTGAGAATGAATGTTTGATGAGGCTGATTTGGTCTCTTGACATATTGATGAAATGTTTATGGACCTGAGGGAGAGAAGAAAACGTAAAAGATGTGCATTTGTAAACATGTCTGTACACGCGTGCATCTGTGCAGTGACTCTGTCCACTATACCATTAACATGCAAGGGTTTTTCGCTAGTGCAAGCTAGGTAAAAATAGAAGCTAAACAGGTCAGACGTTAAAGGTCAGTGTTTCACTTGTGGGCAGACACTTGAGGATGGGCTATTCATCTTCTGTCCGTAAGAACTTCACAAGTCTGATGACTAAAATCATTCGTCCAGTTAAAGGCTGTGATATAAAAAGTGATTGTGGCATGAGTTGAAACAGTAAGACAGTAGTCAGCTGGAGGTGTTTTGATGTGTGGACGTCCAGACAGACAGCCAGCACTTATGGAAAACTATTTGAATTCAGATTCAGTGGTGAATAAATTAGCATAAAAAGATTTGTGCATGCATGTGTGCTTTTGTCTGCACAGATATCCTGAGTCACAGAGGTCTGAACAGGATATTCACCTTTGCCAAGGAAATTATGTTTCCTTTTAAGTTTCCTTTTTTTTGTTTATTCACAGGTTTATGCAAAATCTACATAATAGTTTTCAATGAAAGTTGGTGGAAGGGCACGGAAGGGATCAGAAAAGAACCAATTCAATGTTGGTGCTGATCCAGAAATGTTACTTCCTTTT